TTTGCAAATGCAGTATGAAACACTGGAGTACTACGATATTTCAGAAAAATGGGCAAAAACTGTTACAGTGAATGTAGAGTAGTAGAGTGGTATATTCTAAGGGGAATCCCAGTCACCACTGCTATTCTGTATTTGTTTGATTCCATTGAGCAGGCAGCTTAATCATTAGTCCGCTTTTGGCTATAAACTGCACAAAATGAAAAAAACAATTAGTCACCTCTTTTACATGGATGATCTAAAACTATTTGCCAAGAATGAGAAAGGTCTTTTTAAAATGTTAACTACCGTAATAAGGCTTCAGTTATAACATCTACATGCAGTTTGGCCTCGACAAATATGCGAAAGCAGGGATTAGGGGTATGCTTAGAGCAAGTCGGAAAATATTCTGTTGAATGATGTAAACAGCCTGGAAGAACGTACAAATATTTTGGCATAGAGGAATGTAGTGCCATTTCACATATTGTAACGATGGAAATTATATCAAAGGAATATTATAGAAAAGTAAGTACACTATAAGCCGGTCCATGAGTTGAACTCCTACCCTGACATATATTTCGTCTTACAAATCAATCTTGCTTGGATTTAACATAAATTTTGCATGTAAAATGAGAAGAAAACAATATTTATATACTTTTATTTTTAACTTCTATCACCATTTTTGTTTGAGAGCATTGGTTCGCACCACCCTCCCACCACTTAGCCGTCGCAAGCGACGTTACCGCCCTTGGCACGGGGAGCCTGGTGGCACTACTACCAGGAAACCTAGTATATAGATTTTACATTTTGTTATGGTAGGTTATTTGGTAGGTTATGGTAGGACTACAGTTTACTCTTTATAAACCGTACTGATTATTCTGTGCAGATCAAACAGAAGGAACGTGTGCCCTTATAGATCATTTATTTTATTTAAACAATATAACAAACAATTCCATAATGTTATCTACAAAATTAAACAATTTTTACCATCAGCAAAGTAGTAACAAACAGTAAGAATTATATTAGAAGCATATGAAACTTACAGTTATAAACAAAGATAAGCTTTAAGCTTACTTAGTAGTTCATCTATCAATATTTGTATATAGAATCTTTTAATCGACAGTAAGTTGGACATAGCTCCTATGCTTATTTCAAATCCGTGACTAAGTCCAATCTCGTTCCGTGTCTAAGTTCAACCAAGCACTCGGAATGCCACTCTTGATATACTGCAATTTGAAAACTAATGCTCGTAGCTTTGGGGCATTCCGATTCCCCATTTAGTAAATATGAGTGATGTATACGATTACAATAATTCACGATCCAGGATTATGCGTCATGGTTTTCATAAGAATATTCATGTGATCTATTCAATCGACTACGAATTATCCTGTACACCAAGACATTCATCAAAACCCCAAACTTTTCACCACGAGTAGGTCATAAAGTTCACCCAGTGCGGTTGTTGGGTCACTAAGACCCGAACGCAACGAGCACAGAAAATAAAGGTTTTAAACGCACCAGGTGTTGAATATTTCCTCGATTGTTTTTGCCGCTCTTGAATTCTCTTGGCGTTTATGAGGGGAGTCTCGCGTTAGATCTCCGTTGCTCTTCGGAGAATTTTCTTCAGGGGGTTTCCTAATGGGGTCGGCATTGATACCTTGCGGGAAATTAAATTTTAAATGGAATCGATGCAGATTAATAGGTAATTGTCCAAATATGAACCGCTGATTGATCGGTATAATCAAGGTCCTATTGATTACAAAAATGGTATTGGGGAAATTTATAATTAATGGTCTATTACAGAACATGCAATAATAAATTCTTTATTCGCTGCTCTCCTTTTGTATTTACTCTTCTTCATTAGGGTGTTTATAAACCGCAAGGAGTTATAAATATGTATTCTGAACGTTAGTTTGCCGCCCAAGAAAATATTTGCTACAATATACACTGCAGAAAATATATGGTCAGTTTACAAAATTGCTAAATATTTTGTAACCGTATTTTGTAACTGCTCAACAATGAATATCACGAACACAACAATGGAAGCGATTTCATTTCGATTATTGACAACCAATACATCCTAAATTCAGTTTATGGAATTGTTATCTTTAATTCATTTACATGGAAATATTGGTGTTGTCATTATGTATGCTGTGTATTGCAGAAAATATATAAAAGGGTCGATGAAACAAATTATTATTTCAAAGGGAGATGATGCAACAAAAAAAAAAAAAAACCTTTGGGAATCCCTATTCCAGAGCAACGAGCAATGAAGCACATTTGATGGAGAACTTTCCCATCGCTCGACCGTCTCCGAAGGATGTCTTTCAGCAGAGGAGGAGAACTGGTCGATCATAGCCGTTAGAGTGTTGCATACGGTCAGTGGCGTAGCTAGGGGGAGGGTGCAGTCCATCCCAACACCATTTAGGGATGTCACCAATTGAAAAATTTTATAATTGGAATTATGTAATTTTAATGATTTATTTTTCTTCATGAAAAGGTTTTCGAAAATAAGCTTATAAAATCTTATTTACCATCTACATCTGAATTTTGACTTCCTGATTTCGTTCTATTGTAAATGGAAAATAATATTGCAATACGCATTACTTTGAAGAAATTATTAATTGGTTTACAGCTCTTAAATCACGAAAAGTGTTTTTATAAAAGAACATGGGTTTGTTCCTTAGTTATACTTTGTTCTGAATTACACTTTTTATATACTTTAAATTAATGTCACGTGTAAATATATTTGTGTTTTTATTAAATAATGTATTAAATATTCAGTAATGTTTTTACGACATTTATGGTGGGTTATCATTGCATCTGTCCCCTGTGATTCCAACTGCAGCTACGTCGCTGCATACGGTGCTGCTTCAGCACTCGCCTGGAATCGAAGGGGAAACCGCCGACCTTCGAACTCCAACCCGGCAGGGGCCGTTTTAAGACCTGTCGGGCGACCATTCGGGATCGAATTCACCGGAATTGACCGGCGTTCTTGGCCATGTGAGCGCACCAGGACAAGATTTTATCAGCATATTTTACCGGGTAGCGTTTTAAAAGTTTGAAAATGTCTACTGCAAACCTGATTTTTGTCCAATATGTCACCTAAAAACGTACAGCGATTTTGCGAAGGCAAACTCTGCGTTGTGTGAATTAGATACTGCGAACACTGAGTTGTTACATAAATCAATATTTATACACACACCAAATCTCTATTTTTTTGTTCAGTATGTTAAAGTGGAATTGTGAATACCTCTCTATCCAAGAATCACTTATGATTTTATTTGATCATCCTTAAATGAAAATAAATATCATACCTGAGCTACTATTTCTTCGGAAGCATACCGTACGAGCGGCAAGAACGAACCAGGAAACTACATGAAAGAGTCGAAGGTTGCGGCGGGCACCTCCATGAGCCAGAATGGAACCTCCCACGCAATTTATCACGGGCGCCCTTGAGGCCAGTGCAGCTCGGATTGCGACGTTCCTCCCCAGCCCGCTTCCGCTACTGCCCCCGCCCCCCACCCCGCGACCCCCCTTCCAAGTGTATGTGAGTTGGCGCT